TCTAAAGTAACTCATCTGATTCCAGACTGACCCACAAACTGTTGAAAGTTACTTGAAACTTGGATTTAAGTCATTTTTTTCAGGTTTTCACTGAATGTTGGATCACAATGAGTCCATTTTAAAGTCAATTTTAAGTCAGTTTTGAGGAATTATCATCATTTTTGATGCTTAGATTTGGTCCAATTGTAAACACAGGTCACAGGTGATGCATTCAAAGACTGTGGGAAAGTTGAAAATCACAAATGATGCGTTCTGTAAAATAAAAGTTAAAATGATTTACAATTTTAAACTAATTATTTAGAAGAAAATATCTGTAAAATGATGCATTTTTTTGCAGTTTTAAATACAGCAAAAAAGAAGAATAAATGAACATGTGTAAATATACAGAATTTGGATGTAAAACTGTATTTATAGTTTTAAACAGTTTTTTGAGAATTTGCATTTAAATGTATGCAGTTTTTCTGTGATTTCACTGATTTAAATCAGTAATTTAACAAAACAGGGAACACGTGTAGAAAAACATATATATATATAAAAGAAATGACATTTTTTGGGTTTATTGTTTTTTACAGTGTAGATTAAAATGATTTATTAAGAACAAAGGAGCGACGAAAGGTGTCTGAAAATGACTTTTAAATAAAAACAAACATATAAGATATAATTTCAGATGTGGTTTCTGTGATTTTTTTGGGATGAATTTCACTTAAAAATTAAAAGCAGTCAGAGTCCTGATTTGTCTTTGCTGCCCATAAATAAAACATTGGCTCTTTACATTTTATTTTTGTGTGATTTCCTGGACAGAAAGTTTGAACAGAGCACGACGTGTTCTTCATATGCAAATCTGAGCGCGTTCCACTTGAGAAACAAATCTGATTTCTTCATTAAAGCGGTAAAAAAGCCTTTTTAGTTCCCGTTAATGGTCGTCTCCTTCACACACAATGAGCTGTTTTCTTTGGAGCTCCAGCGAAGCCTCCGAGAGTTTAACAGTCAATAACATCGTTAGCTGCTGCAGATCCAGAAGGATGAAGGGATGGAGCTCTGGAGGCGAACCGGACCTCTGATTTATCAGGACTCAGCCAGTTATCTACGAGCTGCTCAGAGCTGCAGCGGCCAGCAGAATGGCTAATGTAGGACAGGCCAGAACTAAGGCCGCTTCATGTTTAATGATGATGAATATTTCACAACACACTCCGCCACCGTCTCTATTTAAAAGTCGGCTTGGCAGCGGACCTTGGGCCGACTGCCTTCACCGGAGAATTAACACCTGTTTAACCTGCAGAGGAGCCCAAACTGAAATACTGATGTGCACAAAGATTATTCAGACAGAATGAAAAGGTTGGAGGAGGAGGACAAAGGGACAGAAGGAGCTCAAGGTCGCCGCTTTTTCATCATCACCTGCGATTCTGCAGAAACGCAGACGTTCAAGGACCGCGTGGCTCCAACCTGAAGCTAATGGGAGACGTCAAGTAAAACAACCGGCTGTGATCGTGAAGATGTCAAGAGGCCGGGTGCAGTGAATGAACTCAATACGAGTTCTGCTCGGTTCTGACCCGACTGACTCTCCAGTACGTGGAGCCTCCATTATTCATGGTGTTGGTGACGCCTGTGGACGCTCAGAACAAGTCGGTTTCAGGGTCTTTTCAATTTCTGTGAAATGAATAATCAAAGAAATTCAACTCCTTTGTGGTTTTTGTAGTTTTAACTGTGTCATCCTGCACAGAAGATAAAAACATCACCAAAAATAACCCGTTTGTTCTGAACGGATTCTGTAAAAAGCTAAAAAACCTGAACTCCTCTGGGCCAGTGTGTCGCCATGATGGACTCAACTGACAGTCAGGGGACAAAAAGTCAGACTTCTGTTGAAACACTTCCTGCAGACTGAGAGGAGAATCCAACCTACTGGATCAATAAGTAAATGCAGCACGGATCAGAACCAGAGAACAGAGGAGCCAGTTGGTGGAGATACATCCAGCATGGTGGAACATCTTTCTACTGATGATGATGGAACATCTTTCTACTGATGATGATGGAACATCTTTCTACTGATGATGGTGGAACATCTTTCTACATCTGATGGTGGAACATCTTCCTACATCTGATGGTGGAACATCTTTCTACTGATGATGAGCAGAGAGGAAAAGTCTGGAGACATGGAGATGGTTCAAGATCTGCAGGATGTGGAGACGACTTTAGTTCCAGTGTTGGTTAAACCTGTGGACTCTTCTGTCTGGTCTCCATCGTTCTGAGTCCTGCTGACAGAAGACGTCTCTGGGTTCTCTCTCCTCCTTCATGTTCTGGTTCCACAGAGCTGCAGGACTTTAAGATGAAACATGAACCTCAGTGAGGAAACATGAGGCAGGTGATCAACAAAACACCCAGAATCTGCTGCTTGTAGTTCAGAGGGTTAAATCTGCCCCATTTCTCTGATGTAACCTTGATCATAATGTCATCGAGGTTGTCTCGACTTGAAGGCTGCAGATTGATGGAAACCTTAAATTACAAACTAAGAGCAGCGAGTTTGACAGACGGCCATTTATCAGGCAGAGAGGAGGGAGGGTGGCGGCTTTTCCCTCTTTGAAAGGTGAAAAAAAAACAAGTCTGTCATTAAACACAGATGCAGCGAGACGTGCAGGTGACATGAAAACCATCAGTCGGGACGATACAAGAACATGTCCAAGTCCCTGAACAAAATCCATCATTAAGACATGGAAGGAATATGACAAATCTGGACTAGAGTTCACCAGAACACATGTGGAGACTCTGAAGTCACCTGGAAGAAGGTTCTCTGGTCTGAGGAGACCAGAATGGAGCTTTTTGTTCTTCAAGGAACGTTCCCTGAAGGTTTCTGTCTGCTGGGTGTCTAGTAAATCTTTACGATCCACATTTGAGATCCACTGACTGTGTTTAATAATTAAAAGGTGCATGTCCTTCTATCAGACCAACACAACAAAGACAAAACATGAAGTCAGCTGCATGTTGTGGATCTGGAACATTTCTGATTTATCTGAGAAACCAGAGAAAATAATCTACTTAATGTAAAAACCAACTCAGACTCTGTGGTAAAGTTACCAGTGATGCTCTGTTGGGTTTACACTTCCTGCTGCTAATTCTAGTTTCTGGCTCCAGAAAAGCATCAGGTTTGTGAAGCATGGTGGTGGCAGCATCATGCTGGTCAAACAGTCGCTGCTGAGTGGAGACGCAGACATTTAAATGAACACAGTGTGAAGCTGTGCAGCAGCATTCTGTCAGACTGACCCGTCCAGATGTTGTTAACAGTTTCTATCATGTGTTTAGTGCAGCAGGACTGACCTTGGTTGCAGAGCGACCCGAAGAAGCCGGACAGACACTCGCAGCGGCCGGAGACGTGGTGACACGGGCCGTCGCTGTGGACGCACTGAGGACAGGACTGGCTGCAGCGCTGGCCGAAGAAACCTGGAGAGCAGGCTGCAGGAGACAGCGTGTTAGTGTTAGTAATGGATTCGTCCTACAGAGGAGCAGCCAGTCCATTAGCGGGTTTCCTCCTCTTGGCTCTGTTAGCTCCACCGTGTGTTTCCTGCAGCACCGATCCTCCCTCATACGTCTTCCTAAAGCTTTTAATTTGCTTTAATTGATGTTGGTCTAAGTGGGGAGACAACCTGCGCTGCTGCTCTGCTGCTCCCCAACGCTACAGGATTTTACTAATTAAGATAATTGCCTAAACTGTGAACCGGGAGGCCTGAGACGCAGCGAGGAAGGAAGCAGACGAGCGCCGCCGCCGCATCGGCAGGAAACTCTGGTTCTGTTCAACAAGTCGCCTCAGACCTCAGCGTCTAACTCCTGATTTCAAAATGAATCCGTCTTCATCTCAGTTCTGCTGCTGATCGGCAAACACATAAAACATGAAAACTTTCCACCTCAGGTATTTTCTAATTAACCAGAGATGAGACATAAAACCTGCAGGTTCAGGATGTTTGACTTCATAAAGCCACAGGTTTGATTGTTTCAGGGGTTAAATGTTCCTCTGAGGTGTCGTGATTCTGTTTTTAATTCACCTATTAATGATTTTATACTTTATTCTCCCTAAAAACTCAAATATGACAAAAGGAGAATTAACTCTGAACCCAAAAACCCAGCAGCAGCTCTAGAAGACATGCTGATATATTTCCTAAGTTACCAAAATGTTTTTCAGATCGGTTGGTTCAGACGGTGGATGGATGTCCAGGATTCTTTGGTTCTGAATTGGACGAAGGCGAAACGTCTTTAAGAACCAAAAACAAACGTCCAGCTGCTTTTAACTGAAGTTACTCAGATCACAGAAACATCTTCAGTGCAGAACGACACCAATCAGGAAGAAAAGTTGGATTTCTTTGATGATTCATTCGACAAACAAAAAAAAACAACCTGGAATCAACCTGTTCAAAATCATTAAAGAGCCCAGAGGTGTCACCAACATCTGGAAGCCACTGTGGCTCCACATACGATAGAAACATAAACACAGTCATGACCCGATAATCGACCCTTAACAATCCTAAACCTGCTATCCGACAGGTTCTTTGGAAAAGCCAACAGAACCCATAAAAACAGCCTTAACATAGCGACAGCTTTGGATTGTGACTCCGACATGACATTTAATGTCACCAATCAGGATGACGGCGTATTATCTGACTGAACAATCCCACAGATTGGCTACGTTCACACTGCAGGACTTGATGCTCAATGAGGATTTCTTTGTGACTTCCTTCACGTTTCCAGTTCAATGCGACTTGTATGTGATCTGCTGTGTGAACTTCATACGACCCAAAAGTGTCCCGCATGTGCAGAAGAGGACACGACGACGTCACACGCAGCGAGCGTGCTCAGTGTTTATGGAAGTAAACATGGATGGTAACGGTGGAGCGTATCTGCCACTCCCCCACCGCCACCGATGGAGGAAACAGAAGTGTGAGCGCTAACTAAACTAGCATCAGCAGCCAAGTACTGCCTGTGTGTTCTGGACACTTCCACCCCGTCAGAGCGCTGCCCCGGGGTGGAAGTGTCCCCCGACCGCAACGAATGTTCTGATATTCATCATTAATTGGGCCTGAATATCCAGAGAGCAGAAAGTTCTACTGGGACCAGCCCTACTAGTTATTATAACAACTATGAACAATAATGAACAACTAATGAACCTTCCAGCATCAAGCCCTCCTCGTATCTGGACCTCCGTCTGGACAATCCCACAGCCTTGATATCTGACATAGAAGAAGGTTTTACATTTAGTGTCATCGAGTCACGACTGTACGTCTATTTCTAACTAACTTCCTCTCTGCTCTGTATGAACACTGTCTGCAGTTCAGCTGAGTCGTGCTACGGATGCTGCAGCTGATCGATTGAAGGCTTTTGAGCTGCAGGAGCAAAGAAGAAGAAGATTTAGTTTTTACAGAATCTGCTTAAACACTTGATTTTTTCCCATTTTTTTAAAATAAAGGCAATAAAAGAATTTAGATCAAACATTATTTGACTTGGTTTCGTGTCTGCGTGTCACAGACGAGCAGCACCAAGGAGCTGTTAGAGATCCAGCTGAAGACGTCCTGTCTGGGGTTCTGAGGGTCAGTAGCCTGTAGCTGCTGTGTTTCATCTGGGGTTACCTCTCCTGCAGCTGCTGCCTCGGTAACCAGGTGCGCAGACGCAGGTGCCGTCCTCAGGTGAGCAGGAGCCTCCGTTCTCGCAGGTACAGCTGTACGAGCAGTTGGGTCCCCAGCGGCCCTCCGGACAGACGCCGTCACAGTGGACGCCTGCAACACAAGAACCAGAACCAGAGTCAGACGGCTGCTGCTGCTGCAGGCGTGAAGCTGAAGTCTGAAGAACGAAACGACGACGACGACGACAGGTGAGATCAGGAAGTATCAGCAAACAGCACCGAGGAGGAGGAAGTATGAAGAGGATGTTCAGTTCCTCTAAAGTCACCCGTCTGGTGAAGGAGGAGGCTGGTGGCAATGATTCTACTGACAGGTAGTAATAATAATAATAATAATAATAAGGTCAGTTTGTTTCTTTCTGATCATTTCATGTCTCGTTTTGGTTGTTTTGAGTCTGAAATAATCAATAAATAAATGACTGACGGATGCTGAATGAGCATCTGTAGCATCCTGACCTGCGTCCTCTCTCTACGTGAAACCGGATCGGGCTGAAGCTGGAGCTGATCGGATCAGAAACAACAAACATTTTGTGCAGAAACGTCTAAATTTCCAGATTCTGCTCGAGACTTTCTGCCTTTTAATCCGCTGCCGAAGTGTCTCCGTCTTTCATCAGTCTTGCATGTGTGTGTGTGTGTGTGTGTTGGTCGGTTTGCAGATCGGATCAGAACCCTGCTGCTCACCGGGGACAGCGAGCAGAACCCAGGAGACCCACATTCACCGCTGCAGCTCTAAATATAGCAGGAGGGAGTCAGAGCCGCAGAAACAGAGCAGCTCATTAGAAAGTTCCTTTGACTCCGAATATGAAGAACCGCAGAGCCGGTACCGCTCCATTAATAACGGACCTCCGGAACCAGACGCTGGGACGACGAGACGAAGGAGGGAACCAGAACACCAAAGATCCAGTCACAGTGAAAACACCTCCAACACACAGGACACGTGGTCACTGGT